CTCTCTCTCTCTCTCTCTCTCTCTCTCTCTCTCTCTCTCTCTCTCTCAGCCTTGCTTGCTTTCTTTCATTCTCCTCTTATGTATACAATGCACACATGTCAACAGTGTGTGATAGATGACAAACGAAAATCTGAAGGGAAAAAAAGATGGAAGAACGAAAAGCCACAGACGACGAGAGAGAGAAAGAGAGAGAGAGAAAGCGAAGCAAAACAATGTGCAAAACTTTTCGATATATCCAACTTTCAACTTCATCGTCATTTTTATTCGTATTTTGCTTTCGATGCGTTTTCATTTTAATCAAAGCATACCCGCTTTCTTTCAGTGGTTGTTTTCTTCTTTCTCTCTTCCAAGTCTTTTCCTTTCGTTGTGGTTGCTGTTCATACCGCCGAGTTTCAACACTCATAACTGCGTCTTCATTAGTTTCTCTTTCAATGGGATTTCGTGTGTTTTGTTTGGCTGTTGGTGGTGCTGTTGTTGTTCAGATTGTTGTTGCTGTTATGGTGCGTGTTCATTAAATGCCGTAACGGGCAACGGTGCGTTGTTTTAACGGTCAATCGGCGGCAAAGCTCATACATAAATATCTAAAATACACCCAACACTTGGCCAGCTTTATGGAAATTGAATTATGAATTTATTCGCAACCATTATAATTTTGCATCCATATTTTTATGGGTGCAATCAGATTTGAAAACTAAACCATAAAAACGTCAAGTCGATGTGTGTATGTGTAAACGCAATTGGCCGATCAAATTTTTACGATTTACCGTAGTTGTTCCGTATTCAAACTGTGCTTTTGACCGGCGCAAGATAGCGGTAGCGCCTATTCGCAATTTGCGGAACTTTTAAGAACTATCAATACTTGTTGTTGTTGTCATGAATTTCGCAACAACAAGAAGTATTGATAGTTCCTTAAGTTGCCGCAGATCCTATTTAGGCGCTACCGCTATTCACTGTCACGTCAAATACATTGGTTCTTATGGGAGAGAAGCACAGGTTGTCCGTATTAGATACATGAATTGGCGAAGCGGTGAGTAGGGCAGGAGAAGCGTGAAAGGGAAGAAAAAAAAATAGTACGAGAGACCGAATTGTGTATTTACATTTTTTTTCCCGACATTTGTTGTGAAATGGAGCCGAGCCGGTCGTTTCGTTATCCTTCCGTTCTCGCACTAGCACTCAATGTTATATTCCATTTGAAGAAGCGTATGGCCAAAAATCAATGGCACATTAAATGTGTATATGACATATACGAGTGTAATGACACTAGTCGCGCGGATTTCTCATTTAATTTTATCGCTTTTATAGCGCGCTTTTATCGCTTTCCATCGCATTTTTTCTATTCTCCCTTGCTCTCCCCATTCAATTCTTCTGCAGTCACTCGGTGTCGTTTCCTTTTTTCATGAACTTACTTGAAAATAAATCATATGTTTCATACGCTTTGGAGTTTAATTATTTTTTTTTCGCTCTCTTTGTGGTAGCGCTTCACAAATATTCCTTTTGACATACAAGTGGCGCATTCGTGCGAAGGGCTCCATCGTCTACGACGAGTGATTAAACTGAATGAAAAACATATATAATTATTCGGATTTTTCATCCAACACACTAAATTATAAATTGAAATCGCGTTAAAACAAAGTAATTGTGCGTTCGCGCGTAACGCACAGCAGCGCATACGTTCATTTACACATTTACTGCAAACTTCATTGCATGTAGTAAGCCACATACATTTGCACGTTTATTATGATTGAGTTTTAAATACATTTCTTTTTCTCCTCGTCGCTCCGCAAACGGGTGGACAGAGCATGGCAGAAAAAAAAACAAACGGTAGAAAACTTCAATCAAGTTAAAGCTATGTTTTTCAAGCCGTGATAAACTTTTTCGTTTGGTTCAATAACCCATAATTGTTTCTATATATACGTACACACACACACACTCAGTAATTTTAATCGTTCACACATCAGTTCATGATACCGGATGACTCGCTTTTTTTCGCTTCTGTCATCAATTGATTCACTTACGGTGACGACCATTGTCGATATCATGAACCAACAAATCGAAAACCAACAACTTGACTGTTCGAATTACTGATGTTTGCGATCGACCGATTGGATTCGGTTACATGGTTGGTTTTTTTTTCGTGTACAAAAATCCTAAGGGAATATCACGCTCCTGAATCTTGTGAGATATTTGAGATATTTGAAATAAACATCAATTGTATGACATATTTTCGAATAAATGAATCAGATTTTTGTGGATTTTGGAGATATTTGAGATTTTTTGCATTAAATCCGAATAAATACATTTAAATATCATTCATAATCACAAAAATCCACAATATTCCGCCGTATTCACAAATATCCACCATATTTCATACGACAGATTCTTAGAGATAAATTGGATTTTTTTGAAATATTTGAAATAATTCAAGCGTGATATTCCCCTAGCAAAAATCAAAAAGCAAAAAAAAAACGAAAATGTGTTTGCCAACATTTTCGCAGTCGGTGTTAGATTAGGAATTGAACGTTTGTTGGATTATATGAATATTTGCCCAGCAAACGGTATATGTACGGTTGTTGTTGTCGTTGTCATTGTTTATGGATATATGATAGAAAATGATGGCACCAAATTACTTCGACCTCCCGCTTACCTTTTGCTTCTAGCTCGGATATTGCTTCGATATGCAACCCTCCGAAATCAATATCCGATTTCATCAATGCAGTTGAAAATGTTCGCAATTTAATGCCGTCCGTAGATTAAGTAAATGCGTTTTCTAACCTGTTTTAAGCCAATCAACATATACTATGAATCAAATTGGTATGAGAGACACGTTGATATGACGAGACGGTAAAGCAAACCAAACTAAAAATCAAAGTGAATATTTTATATAGCTCAACACAGAGCTATTCATCGTTCATACTTGATGAGCACAATTAGTAGGTCAATCCAGTTAATGTAGTTACCGTTTGGCTGGGTAAAATTAAATGCAAAGCTCACGTCATTAATTTATCGATGACACGTACATTTTGCCCGCTGCAGTATGATTAATCGCTATTTGTATACCGTTTGAGTGTGTGTTTGTATTCTGTTTTTGACTTTGAAATTATCGACTTAATTCAAATCTGATTTTGATCTTTTTTTCCTTCCCATTTCAGGTGAGTGTGCTAACGCAGAGACTTGGACTGAAAAGCCACACAAAATTGTTCGCTCTGTAAATAAATACAAATTGACCAAATGTTGGCCTTTCATAACGAACATAGTAAGTTATTATGCTCTATATTTCATGTATTTAAATGAAAATTTGGCAATGAAATGAATAACACCCAACACGAAAACTGATGATAATTTTCAATGTTAATGGTTTTGAAATATTTTTTTTTTCGAAATTCATAATTCGTCAATATTGAAACTGAAAGTTTGATTGAACGGGAGAAAAAACGCAGAATAAAAAATCACGCGATCGATAACTCTATCAGCAACCGCATTGTATTTTTGACATAATAAATAATCAGTACACAGGTCGTGCAATCGCATTTTTAAATACATAATGTGCACTTAATATGGCACAATTCGCGTTGCAATCGTCTCCAATTAATCATCAATTGCAAGTACTTATTTATCAAGTTTACGCTGTAAAGGATAATGTTGATGATGATGATACACGGTACTCGAAACGAGAGCGAAGAATGCACTGAACAGATTTGTTGGAGGATGTTGGGCGAAGCATGATTTCGTGCATCCATCCATCCATCCACCCATCTTGTATTTTTATTTTGCACCACAACTATCTTGTATCTACACCGTAAAAGGCTCCGTTATTCCAGTAGAACGACATCAAACATTGACTGCTACAAATATCAGCAATAACCGTAATAACAATGCAATGACTTTGATGATGAACAAAATAGCATACGCGACAAAGCACGATCGAGAAACCAACGTGGAAGCCAACATTGAAGCAAAGTACCAAAACAAGATGGGAAAAAAATGTTGAAACCAACCATACAGCCGAAGTGAGGATGAGAGAATAAGCGAGAAGTGGAGAGGGGAGATGTGTGCTCACACACGAACTCTTACACAAAAGACACACAGAGAGAGAGAAAAAAAACACCACCCCGACACTATTACCCGAGCAGCACGAGAACGAATATGTGCCGCCCGAACAATCATACAAGATAAATACATTCGATACCGAAAATATATTTAACAAAAGCAGAGACGGGAAAAGAATTGGAGCGATGATGAGACTGTCAACTGTGACAAAGGCAACAGCTTTCTTTGTGCAAAAGCAGATACAAGATATGAATATAAGATAGAATGTCGGCTGGAAAACTCGCTGAGGGAACGCGCTTGAAGTGATGGCGAAAAAAGAAGCCGCGCCGAATCTTCTATATATAAAAACCGAAAGAAGAAGAAGAAGAAGAAGCCAACAATGGCAGTAACAGTAACAGCAGCGACAATGTGTGGAATAGCGAGTCACACTAAATGGTGAAAACAGTCGGATCGATTCAAAAAGGCTTTTAGCGTCGTTTGCACTAAATTTTGAATTACTGAATTTTCGCCCATGCCTAGGCCATTACCGCATTGATGAAGCTTCCGATCAATTTGTAGATATTTAAGTTCACGTTTTCGCACTCGCTCCTCCTCCCTCCTCTTCTTCCTTTCTTTCTTTCTTACTCACTCGCTTTTTATCTCCTTCTCTCTTCCTCTATGTGTATGTGTCTACTGTCTATCCTTCCATTTCTCAGCAAATGTCATTACTTCTCAAAAGTGAATGTCATTTTGATTTACGACTCGGTTATTTTTAAACAACAAAAAAATGCATGAAATAAGGCTGGCGAAAAAAAAACGACACACAAAAAAGCGTATTTTTATGAATCATGATCGAATGATAAAGAGGAAGAGACAACAACACAACAACAATAACAACAAAGAAGAAAAGCATTTGGTAAAAAGTAAAACACGCGAAGCAAACTCAGAAAAAAAAGGACTAGAGACACTGAAGCCATATTTTCCAGATGCACTTCAGGCGAGAACAATGAGACGGACTGATGTTAACAAGAACCGAACCGTATTATGCTCAGAGAAACCATCTTTCATCTAAAAGCAAGATCACATTCATTTTTTTTCTCGCTGGATTCTCTCTTATTCTTTCTCCTTTTTTTTCGGTGAGCTTTGATATAATTTGCGGGCAGTGGACGGGGGGCATGATGAAAATCAATATGAAACAGCACGGCAACGGACTTCGCGCATTCAAGCGGCCAATGTAAAGGGAGAGAGAGAGAGAGAACAAAATAACAGAAGACCGGCACCAACCAGCCACAACACAAGCACAATTACGACACAAATCCAAAACACGAGAATATTACTTCGTGACCGAAGCAAGAATGGAAAACCGTTGCGGTTTTGATTTACAATATATGGTCAGTGTACTGTGCATAATATGGACAGTCACAATGAGAATGCCCCTTCCCCCCCTCTCTCTCTCTATCTCTCTCTCTCTCTCTCTCCCTCCCTTTCATCTTAAGCCGTTTTTCTTTTTTAATTGCTCACAGCGATCGCAAGAATCTATCAAGCCAATCGATGTATTAAGGATTGGGCAAACAAACAAAAAACCGGAGCATGGTTCGTTAAAAGTGCAATCATTTTCATTAGTTGTTTGAAAATGTCCAGTGGAAAATGAACGGAGAAAAACGTGTTCCATTAAAGTGGATTTCCATATGCTGAACGATGCTAAGAATGACATGATTAAAAGCATAAAATTCTCATGAGATGAAGGCAGAAAAGTATTCGAAGAAAAGAAAGCTGCAAAAAATGCATTTCATTCGAAAATGTAAGACATAGTGAAAGTGTATGGAATTTAATTTGAAATATGAAAACTGAAATAGGTCATCGAATCAGATTATAATAGTAGTTGAAAATCGCATTTGGCATCATTGAAGTGGATAAGGATTTTCCAAGTAATCTGTTGTTGGTATTCAGCTGTGCCATTGTATTTTTCGCCCGAATCACTCTCTGCTGCTGGGTTAAGAGAAGAACTTTGGAAATTGGAGCACAATTCTCTTGGAACGGGAGACTGGGGACACTGTGTGCTTTTAGCTTTGTAATGTTTTGCTATGCGGTAAAAAAGAGGAAATATCCGCTAAATAGAGGGATTTTTAAGTGTGAAAAATGTCTGTTTTACATTTTAATCAATTTCAAAAATAGTAAGCCGAGAACCTCAAGCAAAATGAAAATACTAACATATTTCAAATTTGTGCCTTTTTCCATTTCTGTCCTTGCGCTGTTGCACGGCGATGTGGTGTGCTGTGTTCGCTGTTGCTGCGCTGGATGTCATCTGATGCGATGGGTGCTTTGTGTAATGTGCAACATGCAAAATGGAAAATGAAAAATAAAAACAAAACAAAACAAAACCAAACCAAACTAAATCGCAGGCTGCGCGTTTTTGACGTACTTCAACCCAGAAAGTGCAGCAACCGCTCAAAGTGTGTTGCATGAAAAACAGACATTACCAGGGGTAAGTAAACATACCGCCGCGTATTAGATAATAAAACATTTCTTTTCGTTTCTTTTTTCTTCTCTTGTTGCTGGTTATGATTATTATTATTACATGCTTCTAGTTTAGTTAAATGTTGTTGTTTCAATTTTTTATTTGTGGTCTTTGTGATTTCATGTAAACATGAAACTCAGTCGAGAAATAGTCGTATTTGTCGTTTTTGGCAATGTTTTCTCCCTTTTTCGCTTTCTCTCTTTCTCTCTCTCTCTCTCTCTCTCTCTCTCTCTCTCTCTCTCTCTCTCTCTATCTCTATCTCTCTATTTCTCTTTATGGTATTAATAATTTCCTTCTTGTGTTGGTGTTAGTGTTTAAGTTTCTATTGTCTTTTGCGTTCACATTTTTAGCTGCTACACGTGGCTTCAGTACATGTAACAAAAACATCTGAGTCAGTCAATTTGTGTGCACGGTATGCATATATAAATGGGTTTGTATGTTTCTTTATGTGTATACCACTAACGACTTTCTCTCTCATTCGTGCTGACTACCAAACAAAAAAGAAAAACCACTGTATAAATATTAATAATTAAGATCAGAAAGGAAATGTTCAAATCGAGTTACACTAATTCCGATTTTTTAGTTCAATCGATCAACGGTTCTGTATGTTCATTAATTTTTTATAATCGCTTAGGTCATTATTACGCCCACTATATTATTAAATTCATTTGAAATTTAAAAAAAACGCATTGGTACTATAAATTCCATTGTTTCGTTCGCCCGTAATGCCAACGACTAATGACGCACATCTGAGAACGGAATACGTGAGCAGTTCAAGTGAGTTTTATGCGAGAGGAAAATGTTCAAGCTTCACCGCCACTACACATTATTTTCATAATTCACTTCATTTCTGATAGCAAAACAGGCAAAGCAGATGTAATATGATGTTGCATTTTATTTCTGCTTCGAACAACAGAAAAAAAAGAAGAAGAAAAAATGGTGTGCGTAATTTATATATATTCTGTAATACAGAATCTGTATGGTGATATGGGATTTACTTCATGCGCGCCCACGACCTTTTTTCTATTTTCTTTCTTTTAATCACTTTTAATGAAATTTAAATGTTCTTTGTAAAATAAATGTATGCAGTATAAAAGTAAAATACATTTAAGTAAATTGCGGTTGGTGCAAAGTGCGATGAACGATAACTATGGATTTGAGTGCGCTCTTTAGCGCAATCATACGTATTATAAAATGAAATATTACCATACAGATTGATTTTGTTCGCTTTTTTTTCATTCATTCGTTTGTTCCGTCGTTCGTACGTTCACGTAGCTATGTACTTTTATTGCTGGTATTCGTAGTTGCCGAGAGTCGAGCTAAACGTTTCAAGAGCAACAAGCACCACACAAACACTTGTGAATAGCGAAAACTAAAAATAAAAATCGAATTTAACCAATTTTAGATGTGTAGACGATGGAAAGGTCGATAATTTTCATCAAAAGTAGATTAAAAAAATTTCAGCTCATGTTTGAACAATGGTAGTCAACAATCCAAGAAATGGAAATTCTTCGTTCCACCATTTGTTCATCGAATAGATTGCATATGATTTTTTGCTGACATTTTCGAAAGAAAAAATCTTGCTAAGCGAAGCGCATCTGAAATCAATTGATGAGTTCGTGGAAAATTGCCATACCTCATTCGTTTTACCTTTGACTCAAATTGATGAGGAACAATCGGGAAATTAATTTCATGATTCATTTTGATAGGAAGATTGTGTGTATATCGGCCACAATTTTGAGGTATATTTCCCCCTTATAAAGCAACAAGGTGAATATGGAAGACCGCAACGTCGTTGGAAAAGGAATGCGTTGATCAAAAGTGATCAACACATTTAAATTGTATTCCTTCGTTGATGGAAAAATTGTAGACCGTTCCGAGACGAACGAATACGTTGTGTAGGCATCGTGCTGTGTGCTCAAAAGCAAGTGCACGAAGGCGTTACACACGCTAGAAATCTTGAAATTACGATTAAAATCAAGGGAAAATAAATTATCGAGACGAGAAAATGGAAAAGGCAACATCGACGCAACAGCAACACCAACACCAGGAGCAATCAATTTGAATGGTCTGGTTGTTGTAGCCGATGTAAATGAATGTTCAATATTCTCGTTGTATAGTTTTACTGTGTACTGAGTTGTCTTCCGAACGCATAAAACGAAAGAGTATAACATCGCAGGCGGGAAAAAAAGAGAGATACAAAATATATATGAGGAAAAATAAATGAAAAACTTGAACGAGAGTAACAGCAACAACAGCAGCAACGAGAAAAAGAAGAAAGAACAAGAGCAAAATGGAAAAAAGGCATCGAATGTGAGGCTGGGCATTCATTCGAGGCAATAATAAACAATATTGGAAATGAAAACAATATGCGCACATGGGTGTTGATAGTTGTATAAGTAGCCACCATCGTCATTATTTACACAGAGCACGTCCGTGAGCTCACATATCTCCCGTTCTACTAGACTGTATAATGTATACAAGCGGCGAACGTGCACACATATTTGACTCATCTCAGACACTCGCCTGTTTGCCTGCACGCTCACTCACTCTCTCGTTCGCCCGCACCCATTCTATTCGCATTTCTACATTTCCTTCCAACGACGCTCTCTCTCTCTATCTCTGATCGGTTGTGCTATTTATATAAATAAAAAAATGAAAATTCATTGTGTATACACACCGCATTCAATATTCATGTGTAAATACTTGCGCGCACTTTTTTTTCATCCTGCCCCATCTCTTTTACATTTTTCAATTTATGTTGTTGCTTTGGTTTTTATTACATTTTCTTTTTCTCGATTTTTGAGCGATCTAGCTGCTGTTGCTAGTTTTATGTTTTTGTTGTTGTTGTTGCTGCTGTTTTTTTCTCATCTATTTCATCGTTTCACTGTGATTGTAATACATGAACTGCTTGCTTAATTTGTTTTTCAAATATTCGATTTTGTTTGGAGCGTTTAGTTGGCGATGCTATGGCTCCTGTTCCTATAAAACTCTTTTATTCTCATTCCCTCGCTCGCTTGCTCTCGCTCTGGCTCTCTCTATCTCTTTTTCCCGCACCCAACACATTGTGTTCGAAACGCGCAAACTGAAAATGTAAATAAATGCGCATCAACGAGAAAATCGACACGAATTAGTCAGTTTCAATTTGAATTGAGTTGCGCGCGCGTGACGCCTCAGTCCCTGATCGCTGATATATTGGAAATTCCATTGGCCGAATGGTTGATATAGTTAATATTGATTTCGATTATTTAAAACAATGCTAACGTGAGCGCTCTAACAAAGCCGCCAGAATCGCACAAAAACAATATCCAGCACCAGAGAGAGAGAGAGAGAATGAGGGAAAAAACCGATGATGATAGATTTTTGGCATATTTTTGTGTGTTTTTAAATTGTTGCATTTTCGGTATTTCGGTAAAATCAGGCTGGAGGCCCATTCGATCGATGTGTATTTGGTGGTATTATTTTGCCTGCAAATTAAAATCTCTCGATTGTGCATTGTGGCTCGTGGCCATTGAATATAGTGAAAAGAAAATTGTGTTGAAATGGAATATTCGGTTGCACTTGCATGATTGTTGATTTTACAAACAAAATGCGAATTAGTTTTTTGGACATGTGCTGATGTGTGCCTTTTTGTTGGAAAATGTGTGTTTGACAAGATCGAAACAATAGCCGCCGCCGGTTTTGTGTATTTGCGGCGTCGATTATTTTTTCGCTTTTTTATTTGCAATAAACATTGTGACAACTTAACTAATTAATCAATTCGGGACTTAATTCGGGGCGAAAATCCCGTGAAAAACAGTGTGTCAAGTACCGTCGTCCTGTGTAGTTTTTGTGTTTTCAGTCTATGTGTGTGTGTGTGTGTGTGTGTATTGTGCGTTTGTTTGTTTATTTGTTTGCTGTGATCGCGGTCGAGTTTGCTCGATGTGTATGCAATTTTTCCGTTGTCGATGCAGTTTTTTTTCCTTTCGTTGCATATACACGACTCTGCGATTTCTGCATTTCGATTCAATCCAATTCGAACATATTATTCATTCTGCAAATGCACATTATTCACAACAAAGCCAGTGTGTTGTAGGTGTGGCACATACCTTTTTCAAATGATTTATCGTTACCACTTTCATCCGTTATTCTTCTACATCACTTCATCGTCTATGGAATTTGCTAACGAGCGTTGGCTCTGGTGTGTGCCGCTGCTACTGCTGCTGCTGCTGCTGCTTGCAACAACGAACAAATGAACACCAACACGAAAGGAGTAAAAATCCATTCAGCAAAGCGTTCACAACAATACAATTAAATAATTTCACCACATTTTCCTACTTCTTGTACAAATGACGAACAGTTGCCAAAGAATCATCGTGTTACGAATGCATTTTCATCAACGATGAAAAGAAAATAAACTAAAGTGACGACAAGAAGAGCCGGCCAGACTGAAGATCTGACTGCAGAAGAGAGACAGGAACAGTGAATGTGTATGAAAAGGAAGCAATGTGATCGCTTCTAAGCATTTGTAATTTGAAAATGTTCAAAGCTTCGGCATTTGTAATGCATTCGCGCTGAGAACTCAAATGGCAAATTAATCCGAAAAATCAAGCAGCTCATTTATTGTCAAATAAAAATATTTCATTCCGTTTGTGAAAGCCGGGCGCTTTTTATTCATTTTTCACTTCGTTCATTGATAGAATGCAATCTCATTCATTCGCTTACAGCGTTCCTGGTGCTTTTTTTCAATCGTTGTTTTTTTTTTCTGCTTTGCTTTTACTCTCGCTCACTCAAACCCCCCTCCCATACCACCATTCCGCCACCCGTTCACATCGGAATGAAAACGAAAAACCGAACCGAAGACAAAGATGGCCGTGTATTTTCCCATTTATTCAGATTGTAACAAGAAAATAAATTTTTTTTGTGTTCTTGATTATATTGTATGTTTCAAGAGAGAATGCATGGAAGCAAAAAAAAAAACACACACA